TTGCAAATAAATGAACTTTCTATTCATTTGTTTTCAACATTGATAAGAAGAAATGCTTATTGAGCAGCAAATTAGCATGTTAGGAAGATTTTTCTGAATGATCGTGTGACATTAAAGACTACAGTATTGACTACTGAAAATTCATCTTTACCATCAAAGGAATGCATTAGTATTTCACGTGTTTTTACTATATTTTTAATCAAAAAAATGCAGCCTTAGCAAGCACAAAGGAGTTCTTTCAAAAACATTAAAAAATCTTACCAACCCCAAACTGTTGGTTTGTGTTTGATTTATGAGCATCGGCAAATGTTGCTGAGCAGCTTTGCTGGTCTTAAAGGTGTTCAACAGGAGTGACCACCAGATATTAATACAGTCACTTGTCACTTTTATGCATGTTAAGGCCTTCAACCTGCACCCAGCGGATCCAGATGGCAAAGCAGACCCTTATATAGTGCTAAAACTTGGGAAAACTGAGATCAAAGACAGAGTCAATTACATCCCAAAGCAGCTCAACCCAGTGTTTGGAAGGTGAACAATCAAAATTTCAAAGTGAATTTCTCATTGTATCAACCACCTGTTTCATTGAGGCTCATTCTCTCTCAATCTACCTCTCCTGCCCAGATCCTTTGAATTTCAAGCCACTTTCCCCAAGGAATCCCTGCTAACTATTCTCATCTATGACTATGACACTGTCGGTGGGGATGATTTGATTGGAGAAACACAGATCGATTTGGAGAACCGTTTTTACAGCAGGCATCGAGCTACCTGCGGTCTGCCTTCCGAATATGCCATGTGAGTATTGGTATTGTAACATCCAGTTCTTCTCATCAAGTTAGTTTGATGCCCCCTCTTGGTGTTTCAATTGATGATCTCATGTCATCTAGTGAGGGTTATAATGCATGGAGGGACTGCATCAAGCCAACAGACCTGTTGATTAAGCTTTGCAAGGAAAACAGACTGGACAACCCTCACTTTTCTCCAGGACACATTACCATAGGAAACAAAGTCTTCACAGGGAAAACGGTATTTGCTGATGAAGGTATGTCACTCTTTTGGTTAATGTCATGATGTTGATTGTTGATTAATGACCAAAGGAGCAATGGGTTTGCTACTGCTTCACAGATCAGATGGTGGAGTCGTACGAGCATTTGGCTCTAAAGGTGCTACACAGGTGGTCTGAGATGACCAGTGGGGCCTGTAAACTTGTCCCAGAGCATATTGAAACTCGTGCACTCTACCTTAAAGACAAACCAGGAATAGACCAGGTAATGTGTGTTGTTAGAGGTTTATGTAACCTTAATGTACTTTATAGAATGCATAAGGTGACATAATAATTGTCCATTTGCATGTTCCTCAGGGCCATCTGCAGATGTGGGTGGACATTTTTCCAATGGATATGCCTCATCCTGGCCCTCCTGTGGATATTTCCCCTCGCAAACCCAAAGGGTAAGCTGAAGATCCACAAAACCATCGTACCTTGGTTGTGCAGTAAAGTTAGTACTGGTTTATCCAATAATTTGTTTAATTTTTTTTATAAAGGTATGAACTGAGAATCATTATCTGGAACACTGAAGATGTAATACTAGAGGACACCAACTTCATAACAGGACAACAGTCAAGTGACATTTACGTCAAAGGGTAACATTAGTAGATCACAATCAACGGAAAATGTTTAGTTTTTTTATATATTGAAAACGTCTGCAAGAGTTTGGGGTCAGTCAGATTTTTTTTTGAAAGAAATTATTCTCCAGTGACTCATTAAATAGATCTAAAGTGTCAGTGAAGACATTTACAATGTTACAAAAGATTTAAATGGTGTTCTTTTGAACTTTCTATTCACCAAAGAATGCTAAAAATATCACAATTGCTGTAAAATATCATCACATAATAAACATCACAACTGTTTTCAATATAGATAATAATGACAAATCTTTCTTAAACAGCAAATCAACATATTAGAATTATTTATGAATCATGTGGCACTGAAGAGAATCACATCACAGGAATAAATTACATTAAAAAAATAGAAAACAGCTATTTTAAATTGTAATAATATTTCACAATATTACTTTTACTGTATCTCTGATCAAATAAATGCAGCCATGGTGAGCATAAAAGACTCAAATTGTTTTCCTTCAGGTGGTTAAAGGGTCTTGAAGATGACGGCCAGGAAACTGATGTCCATTACAACTCTCTGACTGGAGAAGGCAACTTCAACTGGCGCTTTGTGTTCCCCTTTAACTACCTGCCAGCTGAGAAAGTGGTGGTGGTACAAAAGCGAGAAAGCATCTACTCTCTGGACAAAACTGAACAGAAGATCCCTGCAGTTCTTGTTATGCAGGTGTGGGACTTTGAGAGGCTTTCTTCTGATGACTTCCTGGGTAAGAAATCTCTCTCGCTTATCATCTTATTATATGCATTGCATCACGTCCTCCCTAGAAGTGCCCTGCTAGCTTACAGTAGCAGAAACCTTGGCTCAACATATTTACTGTTTATACTTGACGAAGGTCTTGACGAAAAACATTTGTGTTTTTCTCAGGCTCAGTGGAGTTGGACCTGCATGGGTTTCCACATGGAGCCAAATCAGCTAAAGCTTGTAAGATGGAAATGCTGACAGTAACCACAGAGAACATCTCTATCTTTCAGCAGAAACGCTCCAAAGGCTGGTGGCCCTTCATTAAAGCTGGCGAACTCACAGTGTGTGAATTGAATTATTTCAGTGAAAAAAATATGAAGTAAATTCTTAATCTGAACCTCAATTACTCCATGTTTGCAAGCATATGGACAATCGAAACTTTGACTAATGTATTTTTAATGCAATTACATGAGAAGAATTTTGTTCTGTACAAAACAATAGGATATATTGTACTGTGCATTTACACAAATGTGATGTGACCTAGTAAAACTATGATATTATTTCCATAGGGAAAGGTAGAAGCGGAATTCCACCTGGTGACAGCTGAAGAGGCAGAGAAAAATCCAGTGGGGCGTGCACGCAAAGAGCCAGAGCCTCTAGAGAAACCAAAGTAATGTGACTAATACACTAATACAGGGACAATTAACCCAACAATTAAAATCATGGCATTGATTACTCATCCTCATGTCATTCCAAACACAAATTTTAAAACTTACATTTTTGGGTGAACTTAGCCTCTATCACTTCGTTCCCATTATTATAAGAGGATTGCCAATCAGTTAGTATATAGGCCTATATAATAAGAACAAAATATAATTATACAAATATAAAAAAATGAAATGATTTGTTTTTGGGTTGTGTGGGTAGTTCTACTGTATGCACTGTGTATTATATGTTAATTATTGTATTATCTCTCTTTTCTCTAGTCGCCCAGACACATCCTTCTCCTGGTTTATGAATCCTTTCAAGTGCTTCTTTCACCTGATCTGGGGGAACTACAAGAAATACATCATTGCTGGACTGGTGCTGTTGATCGTGACTTTGTTCCTGGTTCTCATCTTCTACACCCTACCAGGGGCGATCAGTAGTAAGATTGTCAATGGGTAATTAAACACCCATATAAAGTCATTGGGCACAATGGAGCAGCACAAATGTAATTTGCTTTGAAGCACACATTTAAACATTTGCTCTGCTGGTAGATGATTACTCAGGAGCATGACTTGGTTGATTTTAGGAACAATCTTATATTATTTTAAAATCTTATATTTTATTTAATTATGCACCAACAATTGTAACATACACAACATTAAACACTTAATAATCTTTAAACAGCGTAACACTGAACATAGCACATGAAACCTGTAGAAAACATGTTTATTAACCTTGAATCACATCCTAGTGTAAACGTTTGAACTATCCTACTGTAGAGCTTCAAAACTTGAGACATGAGTATATAGTGACATTAAAAATGACAGTAATAACTCAATTTTCATTTGTGTAAATACAATTACATAAAACAAGCGAGAATAACCCAAATGAGTCTATGTAAAGTTGTGAGGGTTATAATAAATTTTCTTAGTCTTTGTGAAACTCATTGTGTATTGCCTTATATTGATATCAGTGTGTTTTCCCTCAGCTGACTAAATTTTAAAGTCACTTCTCAGAATACTATGAATTAAATGTAATCTTTTTTTAATAAAAAAAACCAAACCTTTATAAAGTTCTTATTCAAAGACAATAATAAGTGTGAAATGTTAACGTAGTATTGTGGCTTTTGGTCCTGAGCTGCTGAATTATGGAAGCAACTGTCACAATGCCTTATTGCACATTTCTTAGTAAGACACTGTGGTTAAAAAAAAAATAAAAAAATAAGAGCGCTGTAAATGAATCGATACCAAACCTGATCCAGCTCTTGGTTTACAGTTTTCCCCATTACCTAGATAACTATATGTGTGAGCATTTTTATCAGTAAAACCTTTTCACACCAAAACATACCATTACATCAGCCACCAAAACAGACTCGTTTCCCGACACTATAAACAGCACTCATCACTTTTTTTACACAAGTGTCTGTTAAACCACGTTAGTCTGCTCAAAATCAAACACACTAATCTGCTTGTACAGCACATTTGCACTTTGTGCTAGTTTAGAAAACACTGTCATACAAAACAATCTGATCAACAACTGTGATAGTTATAGCCAACAGTGCCATTTGCTGGAATGATTTAGGCCACAATGATGAACATGGGCATATTTTAACGAATGGACCAAATTATTATTTAAAAACACCCTGAACACTATGGTCAAAAACAGTTCAACAAGCTACATGGGGCAACATAACTAGGACATTCATGTTAACATTGAGCGCAGGGTGAAATTTCTTCACTGATGATCACAATATCCTAGGACAATATGTTTTGTACGTTTCCCATTTACAGTGAGGAAAATAAGTATTTGAACACCCTGCTATTTTGCAAGTTCTCCCACTTAGAAATCATGGAGGGGTCTGAAATTGTCATCGTAGGTGCATGTCCACTGTGAGAAATAGCAGGGTGTTCAAATACTTATTTTCCTCTCTGTACATTTTTTTTTTTTTTATTGTAGAATATATTTTATTTTACAGCCACTGTTGTTATATGCTTAATGTAATCGAATTAGGTAGAATTGTTGGTTGAGTTTGCAAACCCAAAAGTTGAACTATTTTGAGGTTTGTTTGCACAGATCAGTACGGGGTAACGGTTTGCAAGTTTTTTAGGAACTTCATTAACCATTTGACAACTTTTTCTCAAGTTCCACCATTACTTAGTGTGAGTTTCAGCCAGCAAGTAAACCCTGCATCATTGGTAAGTTGGTCTGTTCTGTGATAGCGCTGAGGGCATCATACCCTCATTGATGCCATGTGCTGGTGCTGATTGGGTAGGACTGGGCCCGAACTGCAGCAGCAGGTTATATGTCCCAGCATCGGACAGTCCCCTTCTCAATCCAAAACCACCTCGCTGCGCAGTCACCCCGCCTCGCCTGCGGGAGGAGATCAGGCCGCCCCGCTGGGCAGGTGAACTCTGCACTGGAACGCCGTTAAACTGCGCAGCCTGGGAGGCCATCAAACAGGCTTGTAGTTTGCGTTTGGCACGCCAGCGGGCCACTCGAAGACGAGTCTTTTCTCTTCTTTCTCTTACCAGGTCTGCAAGCAGAGCCTGGGGTAGAGTCTGCTCCAGCTCACGCCGTCGGTTTGTACCAATCCCTCGGTTTGTGTTCCGGCCTCTTAGACTCAGAGTTCTGCTGCGTTTGTACTCTTCATACAGGTTAAGGTCCTTACGTCTCGGACGCACCTGCTTTTGGACCCCTCCCACACACAGCTGAGAGTCGTCATCTAAATATGGGCAGAGAGGTGAGAGATTAAATATTTATACAAATATTTAAACCTCATCAAATTTTGAGCCACTATTTCAAGTAATAGCAGCATGTTATTGTTTTATATGATGTTAATATAATTTACAATTACGCTCATAAGTACTCAATATTGACTTGGGCCAACTGAAGCCCATCTCAAAACTACTTTATGATCAAGTAACTAAAAAGTAAAATATACACAAACACCCTCAAACCTAAAAGATGCACAGTGAAATGTTACAGAAGCCCTCTGAAACTTATTATAACGCATTATTAAACAGGCAGTGTTCACTTTAAGACAGTGCCACATGTGCCGAGTCACAGGGTGGCACAAAATGAATCACAATTCACATGAAATTGACGAACCGCCAGATCTGTTGTGATTCCGTGCAAACGCAGCTCCGACACGAGTATTGAAAGCAATGGTTTTAATGTTACACGTCAGCTTTTTCCTCTCCTGAACACTGTTTTGGCTGCTGACTGCAACATCACATCCTGTCAGTTTCCTGATAACTGGTAACCGAGTATCTTATCATCAATGTTTGCTAAGCAAGTTTCAGATTCACAAAAGCAAAGATATCTACGTTTTCAAAATGCGTTTGGTTTTACAATATAACCTGATGTAGTTTCATAGTTTTTTAATATATATATATATGATATTACTTGAAAGATTATATGGAATATTTGCCATTTTCACACCATGGGAAAAGTTTAAACTCAAGCACAGTTTTCCCAGACAAGGCTTAGATTAAGCAAGGACTAGACCTTAAGTTCAATTAGGACATTTACAGATGCAATCAAAATAATTAAACCCCCTTGACCTGCAAGACATTTTGCTGCCAAGAACAAAATTGTATGAAAACAATTTAACAAGAGGCATCAGTAAACTACTAATTTTTCTAAGACATATTTGTATGTGAGATTCTGAGAATGTTATGTTGATGAGAAATGAAAAGAAAAATCCAATTGGAACGTCTTTGTCTTTTTCTTACTCAGAGTTGCTCTCAGATCGGTCCTGAATCGCTCTTAAGCTAAGACTCCTACTTAAAATATTTTTAAGCTAAATTAAGAGTTTTCTGAGAGGATTCTTAGTATCTTTATGAATATGGGCCCTGATGTTTTCAAAATATTGATTTAAAAAAAATGGACACTTTAATAACCCTACTTTACTACTACTGAACAATTGATCAAGTAGTTATTAGAATATTTATTTAACAGTATGCAATACAGTAATTATTTGTACAAGCAATGTATCAATCAAAACCAACATTTTTACAATAGATTAGGAGGATGTCCTTCCTGGGGCCAAACGCAGGTAGTCTTTGATGCATTTCTCTGCCTCTGCTTCTGTGGGAGCCAGGAGGGCACTGTTCCTCATAGCTGCAGCTGTATGTTAAATATGTAAAATTATTAGTTTACAAAGAAACAAAGTTCACTTATTACTTAACTTTACCTGAACAGACAAGTCTGAATGTGTTTATGTATGCAATTGTAAAATTTCAGTCAGCACAAATGGAACAAATTATAGAGCAATTCATTGCAAATGGTAAAATTAAAACGAATTCATATGTGAATTGACTGAGATCTGTTACTCTGATAACAGATCATGTTATTATAGAGTCATACCTATTATCAGTACTCCAATATTTGTTTTTCTCAAGCCTCGCTTGTCTCCACGTCCGCACCAGTTGAGCTGTTTGGCCACGTTTGAGGAAAAGACCTTGTTGCAAATTCTCCCCACGGTCTTTTTCATAGTTTGACCTCCACTAACAGACAATCTGTTCAACTAAAACAGAGATTGAATGTAACATGTAAATTAAAAAAATCACCAAAAACTGCTTTATTTAGATAATTCCAACGAATCATACCAATTTCTGCATTTTCCCTCTGTCTAGAAGCGTTTGCTCCAACCGGTCAAGATCCTCCATTGACATCAGAGGCAAGACACAATCCTCATCTTCGTCCTCCGTCTGCAGTTGGGGTTCAAAGTGCTGGTTCCCAACAAGACACTGAACTAAAGCAGTCAGGTGGTTGATTTTCCAGTCCATTTCTCCCTGCCACTCAAGAATAGCCCTCTCTTCAGCTGCAAAACCACAGGTGATTTAGCTGGGACTGACACTGAACAGTAAACCTGTATAAAGGTATGAGCTTGACTTGACATTGTAAATGAAGGGATTAAACTTACCTGTACATTTATTATTTTCAAAACTCTCCGGGCTCGCATCTGACATGGCTGTAAAACAAATTTACAAACATGAAAACCTTCGAATTGTCTAACAGTAATCCATTTCAGAAAAACAAAGAAATTGAATTGGCCGTTGTTAAATTTGTGTTGAAAAGCAGCTTAAATTAAACAATTTAATCAAATAAAAAATAAAACTGACCCAAACTTCTTCAAAAACTACAGTGACTTTAACAAGGGATACTTTCACTATGCATAATTACAGCCATTTTTGTAAACGGAGAACAGACAATAGTTTGAATTTTCTTTTATCTGTCTGTTGGTCCCCAGCTTTCTTTTTAACTTCTGCTTAGCAAACACACACATTACATTTTAAAACAAATATAAACAAGTAAAAGCTAGCCTTTATTCTTAATATATTTGTCGATTTAGGTTAAAAGTTAGTCCTCAGGTTACATTTCAACCCTGTTGCCATCATAACGCTCTCCTAACTCTTATTTAAATTATGTCATAGATTATAGGATTTGATCTAAATGGCAACATAAACTCGGCAAGGACATGTTTCCTTTTTATGCTTCTTTCAACCCTGTTACCATTTTGTACAGTAATCGCTGGTCTGACTATTGAAAATGATTGAGTTTTTACATTCAATTCTCTCAATAAGCATATTGTGTCATGACCTTTCCTTGTCTAGCTGAACTCTGTTACCATCAGCCCTGTTACCTTTAAAGTAAGCCATCTTATCCAAACCTATATTAACATACCTTGAAATGATATAAATTTAAAAACTATTCTGAAATGTTAAATGTACAGAAATAAAACAAATGGTCTTAAAACCATGAATGTTGGTTCAGTAATTAGAAGTCTTAATATATGATAAACACGGTGACCTTTTAAAGTTTTAAAGTTCAAGTAAAGCAGTTAGACTCACCTGTTCATGTTGATGCATTTCTCGTGTGATTCCCCTTCATTGAATGACTTGCGATGTGTATTAAAACATGAACAGCTTGAATTTGTTTTTTGTTTTTTTAATTCTGACAATTTTAACATGAATATGCATTAGAAAATGATTATCAGTCTCATTCACTGAAAGCTCCTTTATTTTTTTTTTTTGTTTGTTTTTTTTTGAGCAAAGTATTCCATGATCTGGCCTGTGCTATGAAAAAATGTAATGATGTAACTTCAAGGTCACAGTACGGTAGTAAACAAACTCTCAGAAATGGATGCGCTGTGTACCTGGCCTTTTCAAATAAAACATTAAATAAAACATTTAAATACCATTTTCGTGAAATAATCAACCTTCATTATTGCATGAAAATATTATTGCTGGTCTCAAGAAGAACCTCAGGCCCAAATTACCAAGTTATCTAATGTTATTCATTGAAAAAAAAAAAACATTCAAATATATTCCTGTTACAGTTTAAACATGATTGAGTATTCTAAAGATATTCAGTAATGCTATTTACTGGTTACTTCAGATGACGCAGAATATTATCCAATGGGCTGAATCCAATTCAACAGAGTTGAAAATGATAACAGGGTTGAAGTGCCTTCTGTTAATGAAATATACATTAATCGATTCAATCGTACATGAATTCATTTATTTTGACCACTCATTACAAAGTACCTCAAAGCAGAACAAATGTAATATAAAGAGTAACATATTCATTTAGCATGGCCCATCTTTGTGAATTTATAAGTCAAGATGTCACAAGGTTCAGTCAGTGGAGGTGAAGATCCATCATAAACAATGGATTACCCAGAATCTCAGTCTCTCTCCTATCTCTCTTCCAGTTCCATCTGAAATATTGTGCAGCTCATTGACTTGGTCACAAGTCATTTTACTTGGTGCCTGAATGAGCACCCGATGGAGCCTCAATGTTGATGGACTCAAGTGCTTTTATGATCACCTCACTTTTAAGGCTATGCTGGATTAGGTAAGGCCATGAAGAGTTGCACATGGGACGTCCTGACCCTGACTTGTCAGTCTGTCTGAGGTCCTCTTCGGGGTTGCAGTAATACCATCAGACTAGGTTCAGGGCTGACTGGAGGGGAGGGAATTATTTTGAAAAATGGTTTCCTCTTCTGTCGTTCTTTGGCTTCTCTCCACTGCTTACGCCTCCATCTCTGAGCCTTGTCACACAGGTCACCAATTTTCTTCTTTTTCCCTGTCTCAACATCTCTTCTCCACCTCTCTCGCTCAGTTCGGAGGTACCTTTCCCTGCGGTCAGGATCAGCGTCCCTTCTCGCCCTGTATGCTCTCTGTTTTTCAGCAGCTGTTTTTGCCATTACAGAGTCTGAAAAAAGGATTTCAATATGAAGACTTGCTCAGCTTCTCCATATTCCAAATGAATAGATTCTTTAAACTCAGCATGACTTGATATGTATGAATTCATCATATGTACAATGAGCCTTTCGTGAGTACTGTTAATATTGATATTGTGACCATTTCAAGTAATTTTCAAACCTTAATTCTGTGTTTCAGGGTTGAAGTTAGTGTAAGACTAAAAATGGCTTATAACAGCATCAGCGTCACTGTCATAAACCAAATTCCTCAGACCGCAAAACTGAGTATTGAGCTTTGAAATCCTAACCTATTAAAAAACAGGTAAGGTACAGTTCATGTGGATTGCAGGACACGTTTGCAACTGGTATTAAAGCAATACAGCCAAAGTTGTGATTATGAACAGCTCATGAATTTCTCACTGCTGCTCTTCTGTAGAAATTGGCAAAAGCAACTTTCACTCTTTGCATCTCTTTCACAACATATCCAAGGCAGGTGTTTGTAAGTTTTGATTGTAAAACCAGTGATAAACCATTGGTACTTGTGAAGATAATCATGATTTCCATTGTTAGTGCATTGTCTTCTTACTACGGTACGGAGGTAAACATCCGAGTCAAACAATGTGAAAAGAGGTCTGTGGCCGACAGGTTTGGACCACAAAATCAAAAGCAAGTGTCAAAACAAAAATATACCTCTAACCACAGGATCAGATAATTTATCAGAAATATTTCCCCTTAGATGTTGTTTTAGGATATTTGTCATACAGTCACAAAGTCATAGACTTTACTTTTAATGAAAAGTAAGTGAGATTTTGTATTGTATTGGTTTTATTGGTTAATTCTAAATGGTTATATTAGTTTTTACGTAATTATAAAAGCTTTGTCTTGACTGACGTAAAATAAAGCACTTTGTCATTTTCATAATCGTTTTTTGGTGCACTTTCACATCAGTAAAATCAGTCTGACCACAGATCAGAACTTTAAATTTCTTGCAATTTAATAAGAATTTTGAAAAAAACAAGTTTAAAAGGCTTTCATCATTTACTCAAACGCATGTCATTCCAAACCCATAATGCCTCAAATTCATCTTCAGAATACAAATGAAGATACTTTTTAATGAAATCTGATTGACTTCTGTTCCTCCATTGAAAGACTATTCACCCAAAACTCTGACGCTTTAAAATGTTCATAAATGGATCATAAACGAAATCCATATGTATCAAACTGTTTAACTAAAGTTCTCTAAAGAGTCATGATCGCTTTATATAATGAATAGATGTAATTTAAAGGGGTGATGAACTGAGAACTCAAATTTTCCTTGAGCTTTTGACATCTAGGTCATCATATTATAAGAATATCCTGTAAGTTTTAGAACTGAAAACGTCCTTGTTAGTCAAATAAAAGCTTTTATTGACACCAGGCTCAGCAAAGACTCGTTTTTCAAAGTGGGGAACTATGACGACAAAGAGGATAAAACATCACCCCCGGTGATGGGGTGGTTTGGGACAACATGAGGGTGAGAAAATAGAATTTTAATTTTTGGGTGACCGAACCCTTTAATCCCTTTTCTTTGAATGACAAGTTCACATTACGGTATACAATAGCTCTTTCAGCATGATCCTGAATGTTGTATTTGCATTCATTTCATGTGTCATTGAACAGAAGAGTGGATCTTGAGAGTGCACATAAATGTCACATCCTATAGATTTTCCAGTCCTTCACACAAAAATCTTGCTTTCATGGAAGTCAGGGAATTTCTTGTTTTTTTTTTTTTTTATTTCATTACAAGCTGTATAAAAAATCAGCTTTATAAAAACATCATACTTTCATTATTATTCCCTTGTCCAGTATATAAAATAAAAACTATACATAAAAATGGAATTAAGCTTTTAAGCAATCATTTTTTGTCAACCATACTTAAAAAACATGTCTTGGCGACATACGTGTGATATCTGGGATTTAAGGCCTGAGAAAAGAATACATGTTCATAATACCCCAAATAAACCAGTGTAAAAAAATGTAAATTTTATACTTACAGGTGGTTGGGTCCATGTTGAATGCTGAGATTGCAAGGTCTGCTGAAGTGCCTGGACTCTGAAGAGCTTGAAACGATGCAGGTAGATCTAGTGAGAGCCCAAGCTCTGGTTCCCCCACTTGATGTTGCAGTTCAGGGTTGGAATATTCAAGCCTAGACATGTTGCCAGCTTCTGCAGGTTCATCCTTCACACAGACAATTTCAACCTCTGCCTCCTCCTGTTTGATCTTCAGCGATGGTGCTCCAAAGGCCACTGTACTTGTGCTTGTGGTCTGGGATGTCATGCTTGGGTCTGCCATCATGGGTGCAGAGAGGACGCTGTTGTCAGGCATGTCTGTGTGCCCAGTCTCTGCAGGGGCCAGAGGGGTTTGACCCCATATTGGATCACTGGTCTCTGACAGAAGCCCCTGATTGTCCACCAGGTGAGGGCTTGAGTTATCAACTATAGAAACAACAAAAGTCACTTTCTGTTGAGTTGAGAGAAAACATTAGGAAAGTATAATACACACTGCCTGATTGGAAATAATTGGCATATTACAAAATTCCTAAACTGATAATTTACTGAACCCCATGTCATACAAGATGTCCACGTCTTTCTTTCTTCAGTCGAAAAGAAATTAAGGTTTTTGAATGATTTAATTAATTTCTTTTCGACTGAATAAAGAAAGACATGGACATCTTGGATGACGGGGGTGAGCAAATTATCAGCAAAAGTTTTTTTTTAAAGTGAACTAATCTAATATATATATAATACTGTATTTATTGTGGAGTAGTGGTTTATTTAGTGTTGAGTGTGTGTCTGGCTGCAATCCATCAATTTTCAACAAAGTACCTTTGCATGTATCCACCTATTACGAATCATGGAATAGTATTGTTCATTCCTGTTATGCAGAACGTTTTGAGCTGTGACTTCTTAAAAAGGAATATGTTTGGGTATTTATATTTTATGGAGGTATTACTATAAAAGTGTAGTGTACAGAAGTGTTTCCTTCATGTAAACAACCCCTTAGTGCTTTTCTTGCATATTCATGTGGACGTTTGTTGTTTTGTGGTGATATTTGTGGTTAGTATTTACACAATGGCAAGAAAATGAAAAAGATGTAACCCAACAGGATGGAAATAAAGAGCTAGAGTTGCTAAATAAGGGATTGACACCTGAAATTTGGACAACCAACCCCACCCATTTCTGTAATTTATTTAAACATAATAGAATGTTTAAAGCGCAAGACAAACAAAATAATTCAACAAAACATCACAAATGTATTCTAATGAATTTCTAATACCTAGCTAGAAATGTCTCCAGAAAAAAAAATTCATGGAACTGTTCCAATTAAAAGTGATATTGCCAAGAAAACATTCAGAGAAAAAAAAAACATCTGGAATATTTCTTGATAAATTGCCTGTTTTATTTTAGCGGCAAAAATTACAATACTCCCTCAAACCAAAGTAATTAAATAAAAAAAAACCCCATCTCTCTCATCTTTGTTATTTTTAACTAATACATGATGAGAATATGAAAAGGTTACTGCATCACCAATACATGTTTATCAGCTGATGTTGCATACCTTTATTAACTGATGATCCATGGATCTCTTCAATGTGGAAATCAGTAATGTTATTCTCATTTCTTAAGGTTTCTTTGGGCATGTTCATCTGATGTCTCACCCATGAGGGACCAGCTACAGGGGCAGGTTCAGTGACTCTCGGTCTTGGAAAGGGGTTTGGGGCTTTGGTACACACTGACACAGTGCTCGTCTGGACTCTTCTGCAGTGCATCCCTGTGGAAAACACCATGTCACCATCTCCCTGATACAGTCTATGGTTAGCGTCTTTAGCAGCCAGGACGCTAATGTACTTGCGCATTGTTTTCATCTGACAGCGGGACGTCTCCAACATTCTCCGGATGTTCTCATTCTCCTTCTCTTTAGCAGTCATCTCCCGTTTAATCTCCTCAAATTTGAGCCCGACCACCCGGATCATCTCTCCTAACACAGTCTCCACCGCGACGTTCACGGCTTTCTCTATGACAGCGCCCATTTGGCCCCGCATCAGAGAGATGGTCAAATTCACATCCATGCTGACGGGCGCAGATCTGAGCTGGGTCGAAAAAGCAACAAAAAATATTTGATTGCCTAATAATTTGTATTCGAGTAGGCCTGTATTTTGTGCAAAACGTATGCTACGTTTACCAGACAAACGCACAGGCTCCGTCCGCCATTGATTGGCCACGCAACGACAACACTGAGACGGAGAATGAATCACTTCCGGTTGAGAGTACATGAACCCTCTGTAGGAAGCTGCTGCCCGAATAAAAGCGGCTACATACCATCACAAAATGCACTGTGGAAAAGTTAGTTTGCAAGTAGGCCTGAGGGGAAAGTAAATAAACTCTAGGCCCATCGGTTTACACTATTTAAAGTCTATTAAACACGATTAAAATTTAAAATAATGTGGTCATTTCTTATGTTGGACTAACTTAAAGTTAGGCATTTTCATGTTCATTTCAAGTTCTCTTCTCATCACATCATGATGATAGCAATAGAAATGGTCTAAAATAACGTACATGATCTGTCGAAGTCACAGGACCAAAAATTGTTTGTCCAATCATTGTTTTCGGTCCGTTTATGGCAACCCGTGGTTTTACCCGTCTAACTTCATGGTTCTAGCCACCCATAGACGACTCGGGTTATGCATTTCTCTGGCAACACCATCGACGACGAAATGAATCGAGTGGCATTAGCTCTGTCATGGGGTGTAACGATTCCCTCTTCCTTTTCCCCCTTTTTGGATGCAGCGAATCCGTCACGATTAATCGTGAATCGTTGATTTCGGTCAGTAATCGACATGCGCGAAGAGACGTTGTGCCGTCATTAGATCGAGCTCACAGTTTTCCTTCGCAGACACGTGCAGTTTACCGCGTTTAACTGGATTGCGCCCCATCCATTCGTATAGCTCTCGTTTTTACTGACTATATGTTGATTACACATTTTAGAGCAGCCCATGCTTGAGCTCTCTTCAGGACCCTATGTTGATGGCTGGTTGCGTGATTAATGTTGAAATAACGCGTTCATTGCGTGGTATAACAGTCACCGTTATTTTCTATAAAGTTTTACGGAGGGTCATAGAATAGGCTCTCATTAAAAAAAATATATATTCAAGGATGGCATGGACGGAGCAAAAACGTAAGTGTTTAAAATGCATGTACGCACGTTCTGATGAATAATACATGAAATGTAATTTAGTGAAGAAAAGTTAGTTTAGGATTAAGAAAAAGTTTATATATAGTTTCTCCAAGAAAGCATTGTGTGTTAAATGTAGGCCTTCCCCATTATACATCCTACACAATATTTATCATGAACATATAATACTTTTAATAAGCCTTTATGTAAATAAATAATAATTATTGGCTATTAAAATAAATGTAATAATAATAGCAACATTAAGAACTATCATGAACTGAGCCATTCCACTGAAATGGTGACATTTCTGTCCCCAGGACATTATATGTATAAAATTGCATGAAAATTAACTCTAAAATACATTTTATTATTAAGCAAAATGTCAGGCACATTAAGCTGACTACAATTACATTAATAAAAACGACAGAACTCTAAAAAATAGCATTCTCTGCATGTCTCAACTCTCTATCTCTAAACTTTACCATGAAATATTATGATTAAAATCGTTCAGAAGTCTGATTTTTCTTGCATTGTTGTGTGACTTTAACTATGAATGAGAAGGTCAATCTATTCGCACAAATATCCTTTTTTTTAACATAAAACCAACAATTTCTTTAAAATAAACAGATCAAAAATAAAGTTTATTTTTGAAGAGTTACAACAAGCAAATGTCACCCATTCGGTGGAATGGCCCAACTAACATTTAGGACACAAGTAGTTGTTTTGCCCCCACTCCCCCTGAAGGCCGCTGTGTAAAGATACATTTGGGGAAGCATTTAAAATTAAATAATCATATGAATGCGTTTAAAGAAATGCAGAATCAAACTGAATTAATCAGAATTTTAATGTGAATCGTCTCAAATGGAATGATTCTGATTTTGCAAAAATCACTCTTGAATCAAATTGAAAAACCCATGATTCGTGAATCGAGTCAATTCGCTGTCTACCCAAAGATTCACAGCCCTAGTAAATACCCACACTAGCAGTCTTGCACTTGCCCACTTACTTACATTAAGTATTTCCTGTATTCGGAAAAGTGAACAGAACTTTTGGAACCCAATAATTCACACTTATGTTGCAAAAATGCAATTGTTTACAGAGCTTTATTTAGTGCATCTTAAAATAAACTTCCTAATGTTAGTTCATTAGTCCCTATATGTAACAGACGACACAATTAATTGTGGTGCTTCTAATTCTAAAAAGCAGTTGTAAATCTAAATTAATTTATACAAATCTAATTTAACTTACAGTGGAATGTTTTCCTTGACATCTCATAATTTCAGGAAACCTGCATGAGTTTCTGAACATGATGCATGATGGGATACGCCTTGAATACCACTCTGAAATGGTGGCTGCGTGGATGCATTCGAAAGGTAAGAAGGCAAGAAGGTACGTCCGAATCCAATGTTATTGCTTTACTTTCTGTCTCCTGAGATATTCATCTATTTTTTTAATTGACCTTGGGGTGGGAACATGTGTGACGTAGCCATTTCAAATGAGGATTAGTTAATTTACTTTGAAGTTACATCACTTAAGTATAAACCATTTACTTTACTTCTATTGCAAATAGTTGTGATTTCCTGTGACACTGTTACACTAGAAAGATAATTATTGTTTGCTAAAATAATAGAAAATGAATTTTTACAATTAAGTCAATTAACAAATGTGTGGGTGATTTTTTTTTTTTAATTTTATTGTTATTATTTAAATGCATCCTCAGTCCTCAAAAATGAATAGAAAGAGCAGATCGAAAGATATGTGTGTTTACATGAAGAGAGTGGATGTGGTTTGAGGTTGAATGATGTTGTTAATTTGTGTCAACAAACTTGCTTGGTCCATAGCTTCTGCGTGATGCGGAAATTATGCAGAGTCAGATGCGAAAGTGGCGTAGGCAAAAATGTTATTGTCTTTTTTACGGGTAATACTGAGTTTGTTCCACAGAGTGTCAAATGTTTCATGGTACTGCCAAATTTAGTTAGTATTGTCAATACAGTCTTTGTCTATTTTTACATTAAAGACTGTATGTTGGTTCAGAGGCATGCTATCTGTTTTTCTCTCACGTTTAGGAGTTATGACTAGACATGCTCATATTGTGACTTTGGATGTGTCTATTTGTGGGTAGTTGTTAGTTTCTGTCTTTTAAAGGTACTGTTCACCCAAAAAGGAAAATGTTGTCATCATTTACTCATCCTCATGTTGTTCCAAACCTGAATGAGTTGAACACAAAATAAGATATTGTTGGTAACCAGACAGTTGACGTTAGCCATTGACATGCTCATTGACTTCAATGGATGCTGTCAACTGTTTGATTACCGACATTCTTCTATATATATATATATATATATATATATTGTGTTTTCTACAGAAGAACAAAACTCATACAGGTTTTGAACAACTTGAGGGTGAGTAAATGATGACAAAATGTAGATTTTTGGGTGAATATCCCTTTATAGTTTGAAACAAATTGTAGTCATTTGAAGAGTAAACACAAATTTTTTAAAGTACAGTACAAATTAAACATAGCATCAGTTCTGGCAGGTCACGTTTGTCAAACTCTCATCAGCTGACTCTCACGTCTACCTAGGAATACAACGCCACAGCAATCATATAAGCTCCTTCACTATTATCAGCAGTTATCACGTTTCTCAGGAGCCAAACCCCAGCTCCTCCTCTCGCCCAGTCAGCATTTGGCATTTGATTCCCCTTTGAATCAAATTAAATTCTCGAATGATGTTGTATTTTAAAATCTTGAATGAATGATATCTGCAATACATTCATGTTGGTTCTGTTCTGTTTACCCTAAGAGGGGTTATTGCTGCTCTCCTCTTATCCATGCTAGGCTGCACGGATGCGCCGGGAGTTCTTGCCCAAAACAGAACCGTATCATATTTGACGATAGTGGTCCTGACAGAATTTGAATGACATTGTGTTAATATTGGCACAGCAGTCATTTCCTTCCTAAATAGAGCTAATCAATGCACATCTAGAAACTGTATAAGCACTCATCTTCCTTTAATTTTCTTAATTTACATCACCAAATATTCATCAAATTTAATTCATCTTTCAATATAATCTCTGTACATATTTAAAAGTAATGGTCTCCTTAAATCATTTTGAAAAAAAGAAAAAATCAGCATTTTCTTGTCTTGATCAAAACTGATAATATCATTGATTATTGGTCCATGGGATCAAAATAATAATAAAAATGCCTAAGCTAGAAACTTTATACAGTACTTCATATACCTTTTGCTTGGCATAGCTACAATTCAGCATGAGGTTTTACTAGCCAGCAGATGAAACCGTCTGCAACAGAGAACAAGACAGTGTAATGGGAGCGGTTGAATGGGGCGCTGCAGCAATATGCAGATTCAGGCATTTAGGAAAGTCTGTTTTGTTGAGTATAAAAAGGCAATCGTTTTGTCCTACGATTTTCTTTAGTGTAGCTTAATTGTGTTCAATCCAGCGGTGAGTCCGAGAGCAGTTAAAGCGTGAGCTCAGCAGCACTGATTCCACTATGGGTTCAGGCAGTCATCATATGAGAGTTGTGGTTCATATCTCTGTGGGATCCTCCCCGTTTCTGCACTTCACGCATGTCCACATATTCTGTGTCATCTGGATCACGGCGTTTTATATTCCTCTGAAACATAGTAAAATCATTTGTAGTTGAAGTTGCGCCAAACTGCTGTGCATTACTGGCACACCGTCACATACTGTATAGTGTTGGCATGGCAGAAGAAGCCCTTACCTGCATTGGCACATAGGTCAGAATGTCAGAAGACTCAGGCTTTGCAACCTGGAGAGGAAGACAAAAAACAGCACAAATGTATTAAGGTTAGAATAACAAGTATTTTATACCTGTATTGCATTGAAATTGTGCAATTGCATTACGATTTAATTCGTTTTTATCTCAAAGAATTGAAATTGATTTTAAAAATATACTCATTTGACAGCTTTATTAAATATTAAGTGGTGCCTGCACACGAAGGACAAAACAAAAACACAGGTATAACAACAGAAGGCAGAAGATGCGAAACAGGACAAAGTTCTAGTGAAAGGATGCCATTTCTTTAATAAAAAAGTATAATATAGCTTAAATTTGTTCATTTTCTTAATGCAGTACACTCTTAAAAATAAATATTTCTAAAGGGGGTTTTGCAGTGATGCCATAAAACAAAAAACATTTTGAAAAAAAAAAAAAAATTCTTAGTGTGAAGAATGTTTTAAAAATCCAGGCTAATGAACCTTTTTCCATTGTCTGCCTAATTTTGCAATGAGGGTTTTCTTTGAATTTTTGAGACTTCTGATTCATTAGCCATTATTTGAATGAAGAATAACAAAGTGCAGTAAATGGTAAAAGTAATTGTGCTATGTGATAATACATTACAATAATATGGTAATAAATACATTTGCGCTATCAATCAGTATAACAAGCTGTTTTGTACAGCTAAAAATAACTCAATTGGATGATAAGATGTAAAAAAATAAGGTGAATTAAGAACCTTGTGAAATCGTTCATGGATGTTGAAGGTTCTTTATGGAACAATCGATGCCAATAAGGAACCTTTATTTTTAAAAGTGTCTTGGGTAACACTTTACAATAAGATCTCATTACTTAACATAAACTAATAATGAGCTGCCCTTCTATGGCATTTTTAATCTTTGTTAATGTTATTTTCAACATTTAGTATTACATTAATGTTAACAAATACAACTTAGACAACATACAATTTTAATAGCCAATGCACTGTGAAGCAACATGAACAACAATAAACAGCTGGATTTTTATTGACTTATGTTTAACAAATACAGTAACAAAAGTAGGTACTTTATGGTTAAACTTTATTTTAAGGTGTCATTGTTACAGTGTAATTACACT